TCTTCTTCTTCTTCATCCTCATCCTACTTCTTCTTCTTCTTCATCCTCATTCTTCTTCTTCTTCTTCTTCTTCATCCTCATCCTACTTCTTCTTCTTCTTCTTCATCCTCATCGTACTTCTTCTTCTTCTTCATCCTCATCCTACTTCTTCTTCTTCTTCTTCATCCTCATCCTTCTTTCTTCTTCTTCTTCTTCTTCATCCTCATCCTACTTCTTCTTCTTCTTCTTCATCCTCATCCTACTTCTTACTTCTTCTTCTTCTTCTTCTTCTTCATCCTCATCCTACTTCTTCTTCTTCTTCTTTTCCTACTTCTTCTTCTTCATCCTCATCCTACTTCTTCTTCTTCTTCTTCTTCTTCATCCTCATCCTACTTCTTCTTCTTCTTCTTCATCCTCATCCTACTTCTTCTTCTTCTTCATCTCATCCTACTTCTTCTTCTTCATCCTCATCCTACTTCTTCTTCTTCTTCTTCATCCTCATCCTACTTCTTCTTCTTCTTCTTCTTCTTCTTCTTCCTCATCCTTTCTTCTTCTTCTTCTTCTTCATCCTCATCCTACTTCTTCTTCTTCTTCTTCTTCATCCTCATCCTACTCTCTTCTTCTTCTTCATCCTCATCCTACTTCTTCTTCTCCTCATTACTTCTTCTTCTTCTTCATCCTCATCCTCATCCTCTTCTTCTTCTTCTTCTTCTTCTTCTTGCCATGGGCCCCTGTACCGCCTCCTCATGCTGCTGCCAGGTCCAGAGTGTGTCATGGGTCCCTGTACGGCCTCCCATTGCTGCTGTCTCCATCGCCACACTCTGCCATGTGCCACTTTCAGGTCTCCTCACACTGCTGGTGGGTTCCATTTTGTCATAGGGTGCTGTATGGCCTCCCATTGCTGCTGCCTCCACCGCCACACTGTGGCTCCACACTCTGGTTTTGGCCCCGTGACTGCCCAAATGAGTGAAGTGTGCGGTGATTCTAAGATCGACGGCACTCATCTGCATGTCATACTGACTGACAGTATTATTTCTCTTCCCCAGCAGACTCCAAGGGCATTTAAATTAAAGGTACAGTGTTCTGCACTAATATAAAGGCTCTCTGAAGCCTAGAAACACCCTTTTATAAGTTAAATTCACAGCGAATAAATTCGCTCGAATCGAATTTATTCCGCGAATTCGGCGAATCAGCCAAATCGAATTTTTGAATAATTCGCTCATCTCTAATTATTATTATACAGGACTTATATAGCACATATATATATATATATATATATATTTTATATATATATTTATACACACAGTATATAAATAAAAATATATATATATATATATATATATATACATACACATATATATATATATATATTTTTTTTTACATTTACATACTATATAAATATATATATACGTATATATATGCACGTATAATAATTGTAATATATATATATGTATGTATATATATATATATATATATATATATATATATTTATTTTTTTTTTACATTTATATGCTGTGTGTATATATTTCTTATATTATTATTATTATTACATCCAGTTTATATAGCGCCAAAGGGTTTGCTCAGCGCTGTACAATAAGGGGGGGGACAATACATGGCACAGTAAAACAATAACAAACAACGTACGAGGGGTAAGAGGGCCCTACTCTTTCGAGCTTACAATCTAGGAGGGAGGGGGTAATGGTACAGTAGGAAGTGGCTGAGGGGAATGAGGGGTGGGAGGAAAGAGGGAGAATGGCCGTTAGGTGAGGGTGGGGTAGGCTTCCCTGAAGAGATGGGTTTTGAGGGAGCGCCTGAATGTGAGGAGGGAAGGCGACAGTCTGATGGATTGGGGCAGTGAGTTCCAGAGGATGGCGGAGGACCTGGAGAAGTCCTGCAGTTGTGTGTGGGAGGAGGAGACCAGGGAGCAGGATAGAAGGAGGTCCAGTGAAGAGTGAAGGGTACGGGTAGGGTGGTACTTGGGGATCAGGTTGGTGAGGTAGTTAGGGGCAGTGTTGTGAACGGCTTTGTAGGTCAGGGTTAGAAGTTTAAATTTGATGCGTTGGGCAATCGGGAGCCAGTGGAGGGAGAGGCAGAGGGGGGTGGCAGAGGTGGAGCGGGTGGTGAGGTGGATGAGTCTAGCCGTTGAGTTCAGGATATATATATATATGTTTACTGTGTATATATTATATATATATATATATATATATATATATATATATATACACATATTGTATATGTGGGACATATCCTGTATCCACTTTCATACTAGCCACGTTTAGCTTAGCATCCTTAGGCGGTTGGAAGTCTTTTCTTAGCTATTGTCCAAGAATTTATGAAGGTTTAGCAGACTGCCTCTAGGCATTTCTAGTTGTTATTTTTGTACATAACAGTTATTGACTAAACATTTGAATGTTTTCAAATTATTGTTGTTTTTTTATTCAAACCTATCATTGTAATTTTATATTTCAATATTTGTTTATTGAGAATCAGTAGAACAACATAAGATATATGCACATAGGAACATCTCACAGCCAAATGGAGTTTTGTAATAAATCAGTTAATAGATATCGTTCTGTATACAATCCGATTCTGTATGAAGATAAATAGACCAATTATTGTAATTTTAACATTGTACCTCTACCTCTGTGCACAGGGAGCGCACAGAGAGAGAAACACAGCGCCGGCTGCAGGTTTGAGAAGGTTGTTCGTAAAAGAAACCTCCAGCCTGCATGGCCATCAACGCAACTTGCTGATATGATGACCATGGGATTGGAATCCGTACTAATTGGTTAGCGATGATGAGGCGTCATTAGGAATACGTGAAATTGATAGATTGCTTTTTCCTAAAATTCAGGCAAAAATCTGTAGATTTTGCAAAAAACTTTTCTTTTTAGAAAAAAAGTAGAAAAAAAAGCGATATGAAGGTAGAGTACAATAAATGGCTACTGCCCCAGTCTGTAACTGGCCTTCACAGCAAGAAGCACATGGAAGGGTGATGCATGTTACGGGCAGCACAGTGGCTAAATGGTTAGCATTTCCACCTGGCAGTACTCGGGTCGTTGGTTCAAATCCCAACCACAGCACCACCTGTCTGGAGTTTGCATGTTCTCCCTGTGCCTGTGTGGGTTTCCTCCAGGTACTCCGGTTTCCTCCCACACTCCAAAGACATGCTGGTAGGTGAATTGGCTCCTGTCTAAACTGGCCCTAGTATGTGTATGTATGAATGTGAGCTAGGGACCTTAGATTGTACGCCCCTTGAGGGTTAGGGACCTTAGATTGTACGCCCCTTGAGGGTTAGGGACCTTAAATTGTACGCCCTTGAGGGTTAGGGACCTTAGATTGTACGCCCCTTGAGGGTTAGGGACCTTAGATTGTACGCCCCTTGAGGGTTAGGGAACTTAGATTGTACGGGTTTGGGGACCCCCCTTGAGGGTTAGGGACCTTAGATTGTACGCCCCTTGAGGGTTAGGGACCTTAGATTGTACTCCCCTTGAGGGTTAGGGACCTTAGATTGTACGCCCCTTGAGGGTTAGGGACCTCAGATTGTACGCCCCTTGAGGGTTAGGGACCTTAGATTGTACGCCCCTTGAGGGTTAGGGACCTTAGATTGTACGCCCCTTGAGGGTTAGGGACCTTAGATTGTACGCCCCTTGAGGGTTAGGGACCTTAGATTGTACGCCCCTTGAGGGTTAGGGACCTCAGATTGTACGCCCCTTGAGGGTTAGGGACCTTAGATTGTACGCCCCTTGAGGGTTAGGGACCTTAGATTGTACGCCCCTTGAGGGTTAGGGACCTTAGATTGTACGCCCCTTGAGGGTTAGGGACCTCAGATTGTACGCCCCTTGAGGGTTAGGGACCTTAGATTGTACTCCCCTTGAGGGTTAGGGACCTTAGATTGTATGCCCCTTGAGGGTTAGGGACCTTAGATTGTACGCCCCTTGAGGGTTAGGGACCTTAGATTGTACTCCCCTTGAGGGTTAGGGACCTTAGATTGTACTCCCCTTGAGGGTTAGGGACCTTAGATTGTACGCCCCTTGAGGGTTAGGGACCTTAGATTGTACGCCCCTTGAGGGTTAGGGACTGATGTGAATGTACAATATATATGTAAAGTGGTGTGTAAATTGACAGCACTATATATGTACCTGAAATAAATAAATAAAAATAAATGTCAAACAATAAAAGAGAAAAATTCCCAGCTCAACTTACCAACCAGCTTGCAAAGAAACCAAATTAGCCTGTCTAACAGTATGGGTTAAAAACGGGTTTAGTTAGCACACGTTTGCAAATACATGCGTAAGCTACAGAGCCTCTATGAAAGTAGATTCTGGTGGTTTTCATAGGATGTAGTTGGCTTTAAATGTCTATTGGAGGTTAAAGAAGCTTCTTTCAGCAACCCTGGACCTTGACCCATTTTTGCGACAAAATAATTGGATTCTCATTAGGTTCATTTTTTGTGTGTGTTTTTTTTTATAGAAAGACAAACATTGGAAACATAAAACAAGCAAATACACACAGAAAGAGCAAAAAGGCAAAGAACACTAAAAAAAATTGAAAGAACTTTCTCTAAAAACACCCCAAAAACATACCCTCAAAGGAAAGAAAAGGTAGACCTTATTTGTGTGCAGGGGCGGACTGACCATTTGGAAACTCGGCACTGCACGAGGGCCAGGGGTCAGTAGGGGGCCCCATGAGATGCCCCTGGTACCTTTTTCATAGGCTTTTTTTGAGTTTGGGCAAGGACACAGGGGCCCCATGATCCCCTATTGCCCTGGGGTCCCCATGAGTTGTCAGTCCACCCCTGTTTGTGTGTTTATTTATTGATTGATTTATTAAGCAAATTTGGCATAAGGAGCTAAAAAGAGAAATTGAGAGTTTGCACTTATTCTTAGATGGTTCAGTTTTCATGCCTTCAAATATTTTACCTTCAAAACAATTTTTTTTTTCAAAACTGTAATGTTTGGCTAGCATTAAAGGCAGAATTGCAATTAAATATAATTTTTTTTTGCCTTTCAGGTTTTGGCATGACCACTCCAGCCACCATTGCAGGGAAGACTTTCCTTATATTCTATGGCTTAATTGGATGTGCGGCCACCATCTTGTTCTTCAACCTTTTCTTGGAACGTTTGATCACAGTCATCGCCTTTATCATGAAGTCGTTTTACGAGAGGCAGCTGAGGAGGAAGGAAGGCATGCCTCCCGAAACGCGTCGGGGCTCTGGTAACTCGGAGGTGGACAGTCTAGCTGGATGGAAACCATCCGTATATTACGTAATGCTCATTTTGTGCGTGGCGTCCATTATCATATCTTGCTGTGCCTCTGCCATGTTCTCACCCATCGAAGGATGGGGCTACTTCGACTCTCTTTATTTTTGCTTTGTTGCCTTCAGCACTATCGGATTCGGTGACATGGTCAGTAGTCAAAAAGCCAAATATGAAAATCAAGGACTTTATCGTTGTGGCAATTTCATCTTCATTTTTATGGGGGTTTGCTGTATATATTCCTTATTTAACGTTATTTCGATAGTCATCAAACAGTGTGTCAATTGGATATTAAAGAAACTAGAATGCCGATGTTGCCAAAGATGCCAAAGAAAAATATTTAGGCCTAAAAGAAACGCGGTCATGCCGCAAAATGTTCGAACTAGACGGAACATCTCTATTGAAACGGATGGAGTTTATGAGAGTGAGACGGACGGCAGGAGGATGTCGGGTGAGATGATCTCCATGAAAGACTTCTTGGCCTCCAACAAAGTCTCATTGGCCATCATGCAGAAGCAACTCTCAGAGACAGCCAACGGTTGCCCAAGGCAAATCGGCACAAGTTCCCGGCACAATGGCTTCTCAGGTGGTGTGGGGGCATTAGCAATTATGAATAATAGACTGGCAGAGACCAGTGTGGACAGGTGAATGCTTTAGCTGGAAAGACAATGAAAGGAATTGCTCAATAATTTGGAAAGTTTCATGTCTGAGGTTACATTAACTGTGAACTGTTCTGAAACATCCAGGTTATGGTACACCTAGTAGTAGTTAGCTTCATTCAACTCAACTTGCTTTGTAATGTTGATGATGTTTTGCTACTTATCCAAAGGCTTTCCTTAGCTTTGATGATAGTCAGAAACATACCCCAGTATTTGTAGCCACAGGTGGATCTCAGCCACTTTAAGCTGCCATAGGGTTCGAATCTCTGCTTGTTCAGAGTGGCCGAGATGGTGGCTGAACCATGTATGAGCAGGCTGATTGTACCCAAGTTGATTCAATCAACTTGTACAACAGGAGTGGACGAAGATGGCTGAGTGGCTGAACCATGTATGAGCAGGCAGATTGTACCCAAGTTGATTGATCAATCAACTTGTACAACAGGGAGTGGACAAGATGGCCGAGTGGCTGAACCATGTATGAGCAGGCAGATTGTACCCAAGTTGATTGATCAATCAACTTGTACAACAGGGAGTGGACAAGATGGCCGAGTGGCTGAACCATGTATGAGCAGGCAGATTGTACCCAAGTTGATTGATCGATCAACTTGGGTACAACCGAGCTGTTGGATTTTTCATGCTATTATCACCAGCTGCTAACAATAATCACTGTGTGTTCTCTTGGCAGGAACGGCTCCTCCCTCCCTCCCCTGACGGGAGAACACAATAGCGCTCTGAGAGGGATTCCCCCATCAATGCTATTGTGGTTGCAGGAAAGAAAATTGCACCGTCTTTTTCTGGTGTTAATCTATGTTCCTGACAACCAATAAAGCTGTAGTGAGACATCTCCAACATTGCAAAACAAGTCCAGCTGATTGTGACTAATTACTACAAGGTCACTTAGCTACATGGAGGTCGATCTATAAATAACAGAGGATCGGAAGGGTGAAGATCCTGAATGTAGTAGCCATTAAGATGTGACCCAGAAAATTATTTTTGCTACAGGAAACACCTCAATTTTTAAAGGTTAATTCCATCCAAAAACATATTTTAGTTTTGCATGGTAACTAGCAGGTTGAATCACACGTCAGCGTCTGATATCTCCCAGGTCTCCAGTGGCAAAATCTGAGAATTCCCCTCAACTTCCTCAGAGGTCTGGAAGGACCTCAACCTCCGCAAAGGAAGTTGGGGCCATTCTCAACTTCCTCAAAGGCCCAGAATCTTTATCTACTAGAACCAAAACCTTGCTTACTACTATGGACCAATACACACATATTTGATCAATGTCTTAAGACAACCTAATACATATAGACTTTGAACAAGTATCTGAGCATTGGACCATAGTATTCCACAAAGTAGGGCTTTGGTTCTAGTGGATAAATGTTTTTGAGGGTGCAATGGATCTTCAATGCCTCCTGAGATCCTTTCACCTACCCTGGACCTATTTGTGTATTGGACCATAATAGTCTACAAAGTAGAGCTTTGTTTCTAGTGGATAAATGTTTTTGAGGCTGCAAAGGGCCTTCAATGCCTCCTGAGCTCCTTTCACCTACCCTGGACCTGTTTTTGTGTCAAAAAATAGCCCTTGCCCTACATACACCCAAAAACATGCAGCCTCTTAGTAATTTTTTTTATTGCAAGCAAGTTTTGCCTCTGCAGCTCAATGAGTTATCAGCAAAATATCTAATTTTGCGGTAATCGCACTGCTCATCCCTATCAGAAATGCAGAATTAAAAAAAAATAAGTAGGAAAATGCAATGCAATGACACCTGTATGATATTCCTGTAGGGGGTGGTGAGGAAATATACTGTAGGAGAATCTTACCACTGGAGTCTAATACTTGTGTTCAACAAAAACTGAATGCCAGCCTTGGGTGATGTTCACCTTTTATTTCTCCCAGTTGCTATACCTTGGTCTCATTTCATCTAATGTGTCTCATACAGCTGCAGGTCAATGAACCAATGTAACTTTCTTGGTTGTTTTTTTTTGGCAAATGAGGTCTATAAGGAAGGGAAGTCATATAATAAAATGTCTAAATATTGCCTGTTACATGACGAGGACTCCATTGTACCAGGCAATAGAACAAGCAGTAAAAGAAAACCTATAGCTGTCCTTGAGTCATCCTTTTCAACCAAGCCAAGCTGTAAACCCATGAAGTTTCTCATCCATCTAGATCAGCCTTTCTCAACCAGGGTTCCATAATTCTTGGATTCCTCCAGTGGTTGCTAGGGGTTCCTTGTTGAGCAATGAGCATCTTCTGCCTTTCAGAAGACTAACTACTGACACCAGTGAATGTCTTAGCAATCTATTAGAGGGGGGATTCTTCCTATTGAGACTAAATGTAAGGAGCATTCATCCATTTCATCCAAGCCAAGTTATAAACCTGTAAAAGTTCTCACCTGTCTAGATTGCCCTTTCTCAACCAGGGTTCCATGGACTGTGGGGTTCCTATAGAAGTTGCAAGGGGTTCCTTGAGCAATGAGCAACTTCTGACTCTCAGAGTACCTACTGACACTAGTGAACTTCTTCGCTATCTATTAGAGGCTGGATTCTTTCTATTGGCAACTGATTCTCAGAAGAGTAAACCCTGACACTAATGATCTTTTTAGCTATATGTTGGGGGGGGGGGGGGCATCTCCTTTTCTACTATTGACCCTAAATGTAAGGAGGTCATTCATCCTTTTCTGTCCTCCACTTTTCAACCAAGCCAAGTTGTAAACCCATGAAGGTTCTCATCCATCTAGATCAGCCTTTCTCAACCAGGGTTCCATAATTCTTGGATTCCTCCAGTGGTTGCTAGGGGTTCCTTGTTGAGCAATGAGCATCTTCTGCCTTTCAGAAGACTAACTACTGACACCAGTGAATGTCTTAGCAATTTATTAGAGGGGGGATTCTTCCTATTGAGCCTAAATGTAAGGAGCATTCATCCATTTCATCCAAGCCAAGTTGTAAACCTGTAAAAGTTCGCATCTGTCTAGATTGCCCTTTCTCAACCAGGGTTCCATGGAATGTGGGGTTCCTATAGAAGTTGCAAGGGGTTCCTTGAGCAATGAGCAACTTAGGACTCTCAGAGCACCTACTGACACCAGTGAACATCTTAGCTATCTGTTAGAGGCTGGATTCTTTCTATTGGCAACTGACTTTCAGAAGAGTACCCTGACACCAGTGGTCTTTTTAGCTATATGTTGGGGGGGGGGTCTTCCTATTGACCCTAAATGTAAGAAGCATTCATCCTTTTCTACTTTTCAACCAAGCCAAGCTGTAAACCTGTGAAGGTTCTCATCTGGGATTCCTCCAGCAGTTGCAAGCGGTTCCTTGAGCAATGAGTACCTTCTGCCATTCAGAAGAGTAGCCTCTGACACCAGTGATCATTTTTAGCCATCTGTTGGGGGGTGGGGGGTTCCGACTGGTCCTAATTGTAGAGAGCATTCTTCCTTTTGCCCATCAAACAAATGTACCATGAGCTGCAGATATAGTAATTATTAGTAGGGATTCCCTGAGACCAGAAAGGTTTTTCAAGGGTTCCTCCATGTTAAAACAGTTGAGAAATGCTGGTCTAGATTATGGTATAGCTAGTAATATTTGGTCAAATTCAGCTGCACTTATTCTTTAATGGTAAAGAAGTTTCACTGTTCATCCAAATATCATTCTCAGTTGTAATGATCAATTCAGGTACATATCCCACTAAACCTCACTGGTCATTCTGTCACCTTAATCCAACCACCAAGGCAGATGTTGCATAGAGTGGTTTCAAAAACTTTCCCACCTCCCATTCTCTTCTTGGACCATCATTACTGCTCTGAAATATTCCATGTTCGTTGGATTAAGGGGACTGAGTTACGTGTGTGGTTTTAAATGCTGGGGTGTGTTCCTGACACTCATTAGAATTAAGTAAGACTCTTGGTTGATCAATGAAATACCTTTATTGTGACAAAACAAGTCAAGACAAATGTGACCAACTACTACTAGGAAACCAAGATTTAAAAATGATGACCAATGAAATTAAAAATACATCTACCAACAGCCCTTGCGGCTGTTCAGCCATAAGGGGGCTTGTAAAAAACCCATAGCTAATGGGAGAAGAGTGGAAAAAATGGGTGGCTCCATCAGTGCCCCTGGATCTCCCCAGAAGGGACCTCATCCCACTTCAGATGTAGAGATAGATGGTTGCAAAGGCAACATGGAGGGCAAGTGACACCAGCCATAGCACTTCATCCTCTATGTTTTACAAGTTTCAGGTGCACAAGGTGTGACAATTTAATTCCTGGCATGGACTGTAAAGAAAAAAATGCTTACTTACCTATACACTAGCGGCTGCTGTCACCTTCAAAGTAGTCCGCTTGTGAAGTGACACACTTGTAGATGAAACATTCCTGGAATTCATTTTCCAGAAAGCCAGGCAGTATCTTTGTTGTGATGCGCTGGATGTCCTGATTGTCAGTTATGGAAACAGACAAAACTCACAGGGTGCTAAGACATGGAAATAAAGTGGTTGGTCAAGTTTTAGAATGGATTTCTGGGCCAGGAACTCGCAAACACTTAATGCATCACATGCAGGAGCATTGTCGTGGTGGAGAATCCACTTGTCAGGCCACAGTTCGGGTCCTCTGAACAAAATCCTGTAACCTTTTCATTTTCCACAATTGCATCCGTCCTTCAGATTTTTGGCTACCCACTTCTCTGACATCTTCCCACCCCTCTTTAAACCACCTATGCCAATCAAAAACGTGATTTCTTCATGGAATGTTCACCATTTACCTGTTTTAAGAGAGCTAAAGTGTCATTCGCACTTTTGCCAATTTTCAAGCAAAATGTGATGTCAATTCACTGCTCCAGATTCCTGTCACTCATTTTCCAACAAAAGCGCAATGCACACATATGTTAATTCTTCTACTACTCCATAAAGACCGAGTCCACTGGTCTGCGACCCAGGAGAGTGCAAGTTAGAACATGTCCCAACACTCTCGAATGTGAATGGCTGTGTGACCACCA